TAGTAGGCCTACAACGTTTCATGATTCTTTATCACTAAACATTAACAAACACTCGTTTTGACGCACTCCGTTCTGTAGCGTGTCTGCTGTTTAAAACAAACTTCCTAGCCTAATTTTGAGACTGGCTATGATGACTGAGATGGACTATGTTGATTTACTAATAATATTTTGTTTGGGATGAAAAAAAGGAGAGTCCATTTCCCCAAAATGCTCCATCAGCACATAGTTTAGTGTGCGCGATGGACAGTAAGGCTATGGAATTTACTAACCACACAATCCACATTTAGGTGATTAAGTCGCAAAACTTTATTTGCATTTGGTGGATTTAGTCGCAAAACTTTAGCTTCGTTTGGTGGCACCATTTACTCTAGGTAGACGGCGACCGGTTTCGTTACCGGTTGGTACATTTCTTATAAACATTCAGCCAAAGGCCAGTGAAAGTTGAGACGGCAGCCGTGTTTTTATCGATGTTTGCCATCCTTATGTGTGCCATCGTAAAGGAATTGCGTTTTAATTTAAATCTCCGAACTTCTGAAGCTGACATATTCTATTAATATAGGCTTGTAATGCAGGCTACAATTTAAAAACGGGTTGGACTCATTCAAAAATTCGAGGGGGTTCGCTAGAAAACAGAGGGGTTCGCTAGAAAAGGGGGGTTCGCCCGAACCATAAAAACCCCCCCTGGCTACGGGCCTGGGACTATGAAGCACTACTAACCTCACTATGGGTACTACAACGTATACTGCTTTATGTCATTACCCATTGTATATTTGCAACATTGTTTTGTACCCTGTTTGATGCACTCAACACACCAATATAACTGACAGGTAATTTTCTTACAGGTATTGATGGTGTTACTATGGTGGTAATTTGTTTGAGTTTAATTGGAGGTTTATTGATCTTCATTAGCGTGATAATCATCATTAAAAAGAAAATACTTGATAAATCGGCTCCTAGCCTTCACTATTCTGTAAGTGAAAGATTCGAGTGAATGAGTTAGATGTTGTCATTGGTCAATCATATTTTGTTTAAATAATAAAAGTATTCTTATGGGCTTTTTTGTTTATCTGTAGTGAAAACTAGTACAGTAGAACCCCTCTTTCGGGACACCCCTATTTCGGGGGACACTACTATTAAGGGGACACTTTTCCGTGAAACGAAAGAGAATATATTTTTGTTTTAGATACGGCCAGCCCCTATTAAGGGGACAGGGACGAAGTGTGCTTAATGGTTAGTAACGCTACCAAGGGGAAAATTTTCTTTTATTGTATCACAGCAACTTTAGCAGTCTCAATAGTAGAAAAAATACATTCATTTAACTTTATATTTTGACACCTTTTAAGCAATAACAAGAATTTTCTTCTCCCTTATTTCTTCGAGTCAAAATCAATATTATAGGCCTACTGCAAAATGTTACTTCGTATAAACCAATCTTGTCAATTTTGAAATAAGAGTATAAATAATTTATTACATCGTTGTATGTAAACATGCCATAAACCCTCTAATAATGTTTTTTGGTTAGTGTCCCCTAAATAAGAGTAACCCTATTAGCGCACATACTTTTAGCCTCGAAGTTGTCCCCTAATAGGAGCTCTGCTGTATTAGTAAATTTATATATGTATATATATATATATATATATATATTACAGTACACTTTAACTGAACTTAATCTGTCTCTTATACACATCTAGATGTGTATAAGAGACAGGCATAGCTCTCAACGAATGTAGTCCTGTAAATAAATGAATAAAGAAATTGTGTAATAAAATGCCTCTGGCGGGACTCGAACCTGTGACCTCTCGCTGTCAAGGCGAGTGTCATAACCACTAGACCACGGAGGCTTCATGGTTGAACAGATTCAAATATCACCAGATACACTCTATTACACAGTAGGTACGGCTAGAAACAAATAGGTGTATATAACATAAATCAAGGTAGCCGTTAACACTGTTAAATCATATATAAATCATCAAAGAAAGGTAAATACAGTGTTCGAAATAAAGGACTTAATAAATACACCGTGTAGCATAGCTCTCAACGAATGTAGTCCTGTAAATAAATGAATAAAGAAATTGTGTAATAAAATGCCTCTGGCGGGACTCGAACCTGCGACCTCTCGCTGTCAAGGCGAGTGTCGTAACCACTAGACCACGGAGGCTTCATGGTTTAACAGATTCAAATACCACCAGATACACTCTATTACACAATAGGTACAGCTAGAAACAAATAGGTGCATATAACATAAATCAAGGTAGCCGTTAACACTGTTAAATCATATATAAATCATCAAAGAAAGGTAAATACAGTGTTCGAATAAACGA